TCTGGCCTTGCTTAGCAGAAAACAGAGCGTTGAAGTACCGAGCCTTTATATATATACAACATTGTATATTAATATGTGGAATTAAGTGGCTTGAAGCATCAAGTTTTGTCATGTATATAAACTATTTTCGACTTACTACGTGGTAGCTGCAACCGATGTGCTCAGTTTTGCCAATAGTTCCCTGAGCAGGAGTTCCTTGAAGGAGCAGAGCAGGCGAAAAGAAAGGGGGTTCGAAGGGTTCGTTCAGGATGGATGATCCCATGACTCGCTGATCCCGTCAAAGGCTTTCGTCCAACCTTGTTTTAGGTGTCAATTTTGATGAACAAGCGAAGTTCCTTCTTTTGACAATGATCCCATTTGTCAGGTGCCACGAAATGATTCATCCTTCCTGAATGGAAACCCTGCTCGGTCGGCGGTGTTCTTTCCATTTGGGCTGGCACAGTCATGCGGCTCCACTTGTTTGCGAACTTTTTTTCTCATGAATCGTTGTTTCTTTCCCTTGTACCCCAAAACAATCTGATCCTTTAGAATATGAACACTTTGCGCCTGGCTTGGGTTGCATGCAGATACATGCAGATGCCGCGCAAGTCTATTGACCCATCAGCTGCTGCCTATCTTTTGTGTCTTTTGATGGTGTTTGTGGTCGAAAGCGTCTCGAAGGTGTACCGACATGCACTGGTCACCGCCTTTACAGCGTCGGAGTTAGAGGTGACTGCCACGAACCAATTCAGGCAGTGGGTGAAGGAGCGCTGCGTAGCTGAGAAACAGCGGAGAGTGGCCATGTTGGTTGGAAAAAACTTGAGACATTCTAGTTGGACTTGTTTCGGCCAAAAGAGAAGATATCAAGAGCTTGGGATGATTTTTGACAACTCCCAGAAGTGGTAGTGCAGCTATCGCATCAAGCAGCCATCCAATGGAAGCAGGAGCAGGGTGCTCTACGCCAGCAAGATTTTCCTGACTCAAAATTTGAGTTTGCAGAGCTGCCCAAGACCTAGCTGCCCTTGCTGGTTGCATGATGGTACTGTAGGAACTATTGGTATAACTCACCAAACACAGTAGCAAGGCCAGCCATAGCGCGATTGAAGGATCCTCCCTGTTGCTGAGGCTGGTGAGGTTCGAGAACTTGACAGGACCCAGGAGCTTAGAAGCCTTGCAGAAGTTCGCGGAGAGCCCAAGATTCCAAAGGCTGGAGCTGGGTGATGTATCTGAGCTCAGCGGTGTAACAGGTTTAGTTCAAGAAGTTTCCAGACAATGAATCTGACTGGAGATCTGGTCCAAGATCAAATTTGTTCTCACATCCAGCTGGTTGTGAATCCAAAGAAACATCGCGGAGCTTCATGTGTTTTCACCTCCGCAGTTCGGATCGTGAGCAGCTGAAGGGCGAACTTCAGCAGGCGCCCGGGTTGCACCCAAGTCCTGCCAAGGGTCCTGGTGGACGAGAGAGGTCTTTTTAGGGCTAGAGGCACACTGGAATTCTTACCTGGTCACCCACTTTTTACTTGGAACTCCAATAAGCCTGTGTGTCTATTTTTTGGCTTATATATCTGCACGGCATTTTCGACCCTTAACAATTGTCCCTGCTCCACCAAGGACCTTGAACAGAGTTCTAAGCTGAACCTGCAAGTTCTGGCTCTAGCGGAAGTGAGTTCCTTGGTGGCCTGAGGAGGGATGTCGAGATTAAGTCAGTACATGACACTATATTATACAAGCCCATGTTTTTGGTCTTTGTTGGTGAGCAAACTATTCAAGAAAGAGGTTAAGCTGTTGACACACTCAGCATATGATGTTGTGTCTTGCACTCTTAAGACTCTCAGACTTCTCAGCTTTCCTTCCTGTTTGCTTTTCCTCCAGACATTTTCTGGGCCTGAGGACATCCTCCCCATGAGAAGATGGAGAGGCGGCTTGATCGAGTACTCCTCCAATCCAGCTTTAACTTGGCTGAAGGCAAGGGGAAGGTTGGAGTGTTGAAGCTTCCTGAGGTTTGGAAGAGTCTTTAGTGCTGAAGAAGGGAGACTCAGGTTTGATTGATTCTACTGGATGTTTGAAAGCACGGCATTGACGATGAAGACAAACACAGGATAATAACCGCATTGACGGTTCAGACCTAGTTTGAATGGAGACTGAGTGCTTGCTGATGGGCAGCAATCGTTGAAATCCTAGATATTTGTGCTGTGCTTACTTTTCTCCTCAATTTGCAACAGCAAGAGCCAGTCACGGACTTGAGGTTTTGAGAGGGAGATCAATTTTGGCGGAACTCGAACATTTCTTCTTTTCGTCTTCTGATGTACCGAATGGTAGCATCAAGACCTGATAGACCTGAGTGATGTCCTCCGACTGCCCGACACCGAAAAGGGATCTCCTCGGACTTTGAGATTGCTGAGCTGGAGAACTTGACCCGTTACATCGCCGAGCACTTCGAGGAGTAGGTGGAAAGACCAGCTCTCTTTTTTCGTTTTCGGACGGAAGACACGACGTGGTTAAGTTTAGTGATGTGTAGTGACACCAGATTGACTTGGATGGGATTTGAACACGCAACAGATGGAGACACTGCATGCATCTGCATGCTTACCCGGTTGCAAAAGTCTTGAGAATCTGCTGGCTCTGTGGATTGATGCGCTCAGCGATCAGGTGTCGTTTTCGCATGGATTCTTGAAAAGAGCGATGCCTGGAGTGAGAAAAGGAGCACTGCAGTCATCGGTAACGAGAAACCTGTAGCATGAAACTATGACGAAGCCGAAACTGCACAGCGGTTTTCGATGGAGAAGCATTGTTTCACAACGTATTGGTCCCCTCTAACCTTGTGAACCAAGAGCATCCGTGGGACACTGTGTAGTTTGCTTTGTTGATAGTTGTGACACTGTCAAAGTTTGGTTTGGCTTTGCCGCTGCGGGTGGTCTGTCACCAGATGGTTCCGACGTTCTTTTAGCCTGAAGGCGACGCGAGCTGTGCTCTCCTTTCTTGCCAAGCGTCGAGGGCTGAAACTTTTTGTGCTGGCCATTCTTCATGAGCCGGTCGATCAAAAGAGAGAGAAGTGTCTCTACGTGTTTTCAATGAATGAAAGCTCATCTAGGACTCTAGTCTGTCACTCTTTCATGCAAGCATGTCTTCCAACATCGACGTAATCATGGAGGCACTTCCGTAGTTGCAGGCCATCCAGCCACCACAGACGTGCGGGACAAGCTTCTTCGAAGTACTCCTGTGTTGGAGGTGCCGAGATCCATCTTGGTGGTGAGGTGGTATATAATTTGACGCCTGGCTGTTCTGGTCCTTTTTGTAGGCGGAGCAGTTAAGGAGTCCTTCAATCGGTAGATATCCGTCCAAATGCAAAACCATTCGCAAAGTTCTCACAGAGACTTCACCAGATGTCCCTGGGCAGCGCATGAACTGGCAGCTGTCCAGGCCTTCGGAAATGCGCACACAAGACAGAATGCCAACTCTTCGCGCTTCGGAAAGTTTATCGAGGCGCGATTAGGTTGTTTGTTTTTCTTTGGCAAGCTTCAATTCAAGCCCCAGGTTGTGCACGTTTGAAACGATCCAATGGCTGCCAACAGAGGTCCATTTGGCTGCAAGTGGAGAAGTGGTTGGTGCAACACTGCAGCCCTACATGCTGGAGGCGAAAGTGCATCACTATAGCCACTGTTTGGCTTGCTTCGCAAAAAGATATGTCATTGCTGCAGATCGACCCCTTTTTTCAAGATGCCAGCTCGGGTTTTGAGTCTGCATTGTTTCGATTGATGCAGGCCTCCAGGGTGTCAGGCGATTTGCCGCAAGGAGAAAGAACGTCATGTGCTGAAATCATTCGACAGCGAGTGACGCAGAGCTGGGAGTAATTAGTTGGGAAGAGGTGATGATTATTGCAGGGCTCAACAAGCACCCCCCCGCGCAACATGTTACAGAACTGCACCCGGAGAAAATGATACCGGTGCCTTATCAGGCAGTTTCCATCTTCCTTCACCTGAATTTTATAGCTTTTCAAGAAGCTGAGGTATCACATATTTTATCTTCTGAAGGCTGCTCTCAATGCTGTATCAAAGGAGGCACTTGTCGCCGCTTCACCTACTTGCTGATCTAAACGGCAGTTCGCGAGTTGAATGGATTGCCTGAACCGCTCAGACAATGCATCTTTTTCCAAATGAGCTGCTTCCTGCACCGTTGGCGACAGGTTCGCACAGCTCCTCAGACGTGGCAGGCTTAGACAAGCAGACTCGCAACACAGAAATAACTAGAAAGCATAGAAAGAAGTCTATACGATCCCATCACCATTCTTGTCTACAGTGGCAGTTTGAAGGTAACATGGCATCATAAGCAAAGATGCGCTGGAATATGCTTTTAGCCTGAAGACATGGCATCGGCTTCGAGGCCTTTCTGGGACCGTATCATTCGAGAGAAAGGATGGAATGAGCTCGAACCGGCCTCACACAGAGCTGAGAACTGTGAGCGGACTCTTCGAGTGTTTTCAGTCTTACAGGGTTTTCATGTTCTGAGCAACCAAGGCGCAGCTTGCCAGCGGGCTAATGGATGCCTCTCCTAGGCTTTTGACCGTTTATGAGACCCTACCCAACACCAAGAGATATTGTCGTGACAAACTATGGCAACAGCTCTCCCAGCTACCCTGCAGCCTGTGCGTTTTCTTGACCTGTAAACACACAAAGCGGAATCAAAGCACATTGGACACGGCCTGCCTCTTCAAACGGCAATGGTAGCGTCGCCCGCAAAAGCCTTTGATGGATTCCAGTGGCAAGCCGCCTATGCCTGCAGGTTGCAAGATGGCCCAGCAGAAGCTTCATGCTTGGAAGGCTTTGAGGCGTGGTGATGCTTGTGGCTTTTTGGCTGCTCATGCTGAGTTGCACAAGGCTTGGAAGCCGTGCTCCGTATAAGATGTCGTTCAAAGCAGATGAAATGCATCGCCGCATGGCCACAGCATGCCACAGCAACTCCCTTACATGGAGGGTGGCTTCTCCAAACGGTCCCAACAAGACGTACAGCATCGGGCATCGATGGGACCAATGGCAGGTCTTGGTGGAAGGGCTCCTGGCCACTGGGATGAAGGTCTCCCAGGTGGCCGAGTGCTGCCGCGTGGTGGCGGCTGTAGCCTTGTTGTCGGACCCAGAGCTGGGTAGTGACCTCAGAGCATCGCTAGCCATGGCTTGCCATGGCTTGAAGCCATCGAAATGCTCAAAACATGACTCAGACTCAGGTGATCAGTCTTTGCCAGTTTCCGCCAAGCTCTTGAGATTGGAGGAGCCTGAACTGTTGGGTGGTGACCTTGAGGACTCATGAGGATTCTGATTACAACATTGAAACCAAAAGCCACTTGGGTCCAAGGGAAGTCCAGTTGTCCAAGGTATGTTGAATCCCAAGTGACCACGTTTGGTCTTTCCCACGTCAAGACGCCGTAACTGGGTTCTGCTGCGATCCTGACCGGCTTTTGCCACTTGTGAGCTGGAGCAAAAATAACTTCCCAATCTCCCTCGGTCGAAGGGAACATGGCAGGTTATTTTTGCTCCATAGTGTTTATTTTTTTCAACCTCATTATAAACTCACCAACATCCCTTGGAGTGGTTTCCAAAAGTGGACCATTCCAGGCCCCTTTTGGCCAGGAAGCTGAGTTGCGGAGCTTCCTTTGGCGGATTATGATGCGCTGACCTTACAGCCAATGGATGCATCCGCGGCGGCAGCATCCAGATGCTTAACTGGACCTGTCACTGTTCCTTCTTGCAGCACACTAGCTGGCAAAGCCTTTGCTTGCCTTTATGCAGTATCCAGGCTTAAGCAACCGTTTGTGAGCCCCATACTCTCATGTCACACAATTCCAATTGGTTCTTGGGGCAAAATTGAGTTAAGAGAAGCCTGGCGTGCTTTGGCCTTTGGAGGCGTATGATTGGGTGTGTCTGACTCCAGGAGGCTTCTCACAAAATCCCTACCGCCCGGTTGTAAATTAATAGCAAACATTGTATAACATTGTTACTACTAGTAAGGCACTTGTTACTAGTAGCTTTCTTGTTACTACTAGTAAGGCACTTGTTACTAGTAGCTTTCTTGTTACTACTAGTAAGGCACTTGTTACTAGTAGCGAGGCACTTGTTACTAATGTATCCATTTGGCACATCTTACATTGACCATAAATCCTCCAGAAAACCACTGAGGTCTGTCGGTGGTGAGCGTGTTTATCGAGAACGGAACAAAGCAGAGGCATGTCCTGTGGAGTGCACTGGCCATCCATGGAGGATCAGTTGTTATTGTATTTGTCTTTACAATTGTAAGCTGAGGTTGGCAACCTCCAATGTTGTGGTGAGGGCCACCAGCTACCCCATGTCTTGCGAACATCTTACTGTAATGATATTTAATGATCTGTCATGTTGTTTGGTCGCATATCTTTCTTTGTCTATGTGCAGACATCACTATGCACAAGTCACAAGTACAGTATGTGAATTGACCGAAACACCTACTGTACCCCTACACCAGTTTGTAGTTAGAAAGGAGAAGAGCGGAACAATCTTAATGTGCGAGTCATTCCATCACTTATATAGAGATGACTTGACGAGCCTGGGGAGATTGAGTGGGCACAGAAGCAGTCCAGTCAGAAGGCAATGAATCAAATAGGCCGGCCTGACCAATGAGACTACAACCAATACTCCTTGCTCCTATGTGTTCTTGACGTGTGCAAGTGAGCAACAGCAAAGCCCGCCCATGCCGCTAGGCAACGACCCTTCGCGCTTCCTTGGCACAAGAGTTGTATGCCTCTTTGTTCACGTCCAGTGCCCCAGTGAGCAGGTCGTTTGTCAATCTTCGGGTCTTTGACATCCTTCAGACCGATCTTTTCCGCTCTGTTCGCCGCAGCGGCAGAGCTGAACCGCAAGCTCCAGGTGGTTGACTCGCTTCATCGCTCAGGGCATTGCACCACGACAGGACGGTGAGAAAGTGGCAATGCTGAGTCATCTCGAAACGGTAGCAGACAGGAAAGAGACCAAGATATGCCAAGCTGATCTGTCCTGTTCATCCGATTCCATAGTTTCAAGGTATAATTTTGCAATTTCGCTGTGGTCGAGTTGTGTAGATGGCCTTGTCAGGATGGTGGCCGCATGCTGGGCTTGCTGGATCTCTATGGCTTTGAGGTAGCCCATATGAGTCAATGTGAGTTGATCAAGTCTACCTGCGCTGTGCATCCCAGTCTTCAGTGCCGAAGCTTCGACCAAGGTCTTCCCAACCAACGGCTTTGAGCAGTTTCTCATCAACTACTGCTTGGGGCTAAGGGGCAGATGCAGCTCTGCCACCCTGCCTCCTCTGTGAAGAGGTCTTTTTCGATTCTGTACACGCAGTGTCATGCACGGAAAGCTGAGCCGAAAGCAGAAGGGAGACAGCAAGCAAAACATCACACTTGCACCATCAAACTGAATGTCATGAGCATGCCGTGGCTACTTGCTTGATCAAAGAGACCCTCAAGCGATTGACTTCGCCCTTGCTGCTTAGGCAATGAACGCTTGCAGCAGTTCTTCAATCGGCAGGTGCAGCTCACAACTCACCTGCAACACAGCTTTCAACCAGCAATCTGCAGTTGTTAAGAGAGGGAGACTTTCTGCTGCTCACTACTAGGTATGCTCACCAGTGGAAACGGAAGTCATTTCCAAGAACGCCTTCTCCTTTAGTGAATTGAAAGAGTGTCTTAATTTTTTTTGGTTAAATTTCACAAACAATTGAGGAACCAAATCATTAGTGCGAGCGCTTCTTCAAGGAAGCTTCCCCCACCGCCTTCAGGACGGCTGGGGGAGCTTCCTTGAAGAAGCGTGAGCTATCCTGCGTCCATACTAGTAGCTACCCAGCTACTACTAGCTACCTACTTCTACTAGCGGCCTCCTCGGGCTTAAAAGCAAAAGCGATCGAACTGAGCCTGATTTCGTCCCAGAAGCCGCCGCCGACCACAGGTCTTCGCTCGAGAGGCGGAAGAGTATGCTGCAGAAGGCGCCATGATGGCCGTTGGCGCCCGCATTGGGCAAGAAGACACATGACTCTTTGGAGAAGTGCCTTTTCGGTTGAGTCGCAAGACAGATACCTTCAATTGCTAATTCCTCTACTCTTTGCATTTGACAAAAGCTCTGTCTCACGAAACATGAATAGGCTGTATTAATTGGGTGAGAATCAATTGGAGCCAGCATCGGGGTTCTTTCCGCAGCTGCAGCTTGGCTTTTGTGGGACATTTTTGCAACAGAACGGAAAACATCATGACATCAATCAAAATAAATTAGAGGGATTTGTAGGGTTGAGATTGCTACTGGTATCGTAAGAATCTGAGGATTAAGCTTCAAGGATGAACTCATCTCGTGTAGGATCTCCTTTTCGCTCCAGGTTTGGATTGGGACGGCCACTGGAGCAACTGTGCAGCAGCGTGTCAGCTGCCAGCCTTGGCACTCCTGGAGGCTCATGCACTCACCGAGTTTGCTTTTTGGGGCGCCAATCTACACGTCGGACGGCCCCAGAAAATCGGTTCAACCCTCCCCAAAGCCTCAATGTGCGGGAATATGGGCTCTACAAACCAAGGAATCACGTTTGTGATCAAGAAGACACCATGGATGTTCCGCATGCTCCACCACGTAGACAACATGTTCCAAACAACAGCCAGCAAGGTTTTGCCAAAAGCCATTTGGGCCATGGCAGTTCGCAAGAGGTTGCATACTTCTGACCTTGAAAGTGCTCCTAACAGTGCTACCCACCCCTTCGAGGATTTTCATGAACCAATGATGATATTTGAGCCCACAGGGAAGTCGACTTTTCCTGAAACAACATAGTGGTTGCAGAGAGGGAGCCGCGAGGTCGGCAAAGCAGATTGGAGAAGAAGGCCCACCTTTTTGTGGATGTCATTTGCTATGTCTCCTTGGCGGTGATGACAAGCACAGATTTGGAATGATTTGGATGGTTGTGGCGCTTACATCCGAGGATGAGCGAAACACAGCTTGAGCAGTTCTTTCAGTGGTCCTGCCCAGGTGAGCACTTTGATGCCTTTTTGTCACACACCTGGTGGACGCCGGGTATCGCAATACTGTTCCTTGCTGCTCAAGACATATTGGCACTGTGCTCTCCTTACTTGGTTCACTGCTGCCTTCGTGGTTGCTGCTCTTTGCCCCATGGAGCTTCTGCCCATGCCGTTCACCTTCACGCTGTCATTTGAGCGACGGCACCGGACGCAGTCCGGGCCATGGGCAGCAGTTGTGGCGTTTGTGCTTGCGATTTGTGCTCTTTTCATTGCGCCAAATTCTCCTTGTGCCCAATCTACAAATGCTTCTACTACAGCATGTGGCATGCATACATCAGACGGACCAAGCGCAACGGGACACAGGCATCTACGGCATTGGCGGATTCTTGTTTGTGGCCAAGCAACTTCGAATTCTGTGGAGCCCCTGAGTACCTGCCTCGCATGTGGTGTTTGGGCTTTACCAAGCCATACGCGTTGTTGATTGTTTTTTCAGAGCATGGACAGTTAAGAATGATCTATATCATGTTTCATCCCTACTTCAACACCAATGTTCGAACAAGGCAACACGGGTATCCAAGACCTGCGACCAGTTCACCCAACAACGATCATAGTCCAAGACCGTGCTATAAATGAAACTCACCAAGGGGTCACCGCAATGCCATTGATCTAAGGTAAACACGTGTGTCAGATACGGTGTCAGTCACCCATACGAACCGTGCGAGTCACCCATCCGTGAGAGGTTCGTGGCTTCATGACATCGAACAAACCCTGTCCATGTTTGTGCAGGACGAATATGTCTACACTACATCAACACAAACATATCATTCGATCCCCACCCCCCACCCCAACCCTCCATGTGTGTACGTTTGTGATGACACGTTGAAGCAAATGGGTGTTACTGAAGCGAAAACGCCGTAAAGAAGTCAAAAAATGCACAAAACGCCACGGCCATCTATGGCACGTGCTCCAACTACCAAGGTGCGTATTCGAGCTCGCTGCATACCGACGTGCCAATCCCACCGGCGAGTTGGTCGATTCTAGCCAAACGAGACTTTCTGATGCTGTGGCTGTGCGTGTGCATCTTCGCCTTCCTCTACCTGATGACTTACTTCACCAAGGTGTTCCAAAGCCTGAAGGTGTGCTTGGGAGGAGCTGTGCCTGGAGTGCATGGTGTCAGAACGAGCTACAAGGAGCAAAAAGCAATCCTTGCAGATCCCTTCCAGCACGATGCGGTCTCATGCTCCAGTGCGGAGGATAGGCGGTTCATTTTCTCAGCAGTGGGCATGTCGACTGACATGGCCATGCGGCCATGTGGGGGGCAAAGGCACCAACATTCTGCTGACCTTCTTCGCCTCAGAGATCCTGCTTGCCTACATTTTGAACATCCTTCTGATGATCCTGATGAAGTCCCTTTTGAAGCTTTGTCAAGTGTTTGCCGAACCGTTCTTCAAGCATCGCATTCGAACCGACTGGTTGCACACCATAGCTGTGTTGCTCGCCGTGGGCATCCTTGTCTTTGCCGTGTAAACTCCGAAGAGAGTTGTCTACAATGCCTCCGGCGACACTGGAGTTACCCGATTTTGATGTTGGTCGCTGCTTACCTTGCAATCTTGATTCTGGTGTGCGCAGTGTGGCTTGTTTGGAAGAAGCTCGAAATTGTACGTGACCAGCTTTGAGGAGGACTGGCGCTTGTGAGGAGCGTGGTCGCAGATATTCTTGAACTATTTAGAGACTTTGCGTCGATCCAGGTTCAGCTCAGGCCCATGTCTTGTGAACTGTCCTGTGAGATGGCAGTCGCAAAAAAGCAGCGTTCTCCAAGCATTCCAAGCCTGGACCAAATCGTTTGGTAAGTTGTCTGTCGTATGGCACCACAACACCCCAAGAATTCCGATTGGTCTATCGCACGTTTTTAGCATTTTTCCACAAGTGGCTGTGCTTGGATCCTCATTTTTGTGCAGGGACGTGGTGGCGTTGGAATCTTCCATGTGATCGATGACCGATCCAAGTGCAACTTCGAGGAAGTGATCGGGCATACGTGCTCCTTTTCCAAGAGCAAAAAATAATCAACAACTTGAACCTTAGAATCCGTGGTCAACATCATTTGGACATCCAAGACTTGCTGATTCAAATTTGAGTTTCTTTGGCCTAAGTCTCACTTGTGTCATGTTGCACATGTTCTTCATGAAGCTGTGAGGAAGCGCAGAATGGCCTGCCCGGCATGGTGTCAGTGTTGGCCTGACAGGTCTTACTCTTGAAGACTATGAATTTGTATACCATACAAAGCACAACTCGTCCGAAGGTTTAACCACCTCCATCAGTGGCTAGCACTTACTGTATGTAAATCGCACCAAGCCAGTCCAAGCGTCTTAGCTTTGATTCAGATCGTTGTGTCTATTCAAGAGTGGTCTCTATTCTGCTCCCAACTCTTCGGCTCAAGACTTCACGCGTCCATCCGATTGCGTAACTAGTCTGACTCCGTCGGTATCTTGCGACGGGGTTGCCGTGCTGTGCTTTGGAAAGTCTTGGGTATAGAGCATGTACCAGATCTTTCACAATCGGGAATTTGCCAACTTGTCGAGAAAGCAGGTCTAAGTCTAAGAGGATTTCAGATTAGTTACTTTTGTGGAAGCTGAGCTTTGGAATTCCAACATCTTATCCGTATCCCGCGATGGCTGAACAGCAGATCCCTCAGCTTGGTGGTGGTCAGCAGTTGGTAAGTAAGGGTGGCTCGGAAACCTCTCAACAATTCCAAACATACATCGACACGCTGATTGATGGCTCATCTTCTCTCGCTTTTAAGGATGGGGTTTGATAGAAAGAAAAGGTCAATGTTTTGCCATGCTGTCCTGCAACTCCTACCGAGGTCCATGAATTATGGCGGTGCAACCGCTCTGAGTCAAGCCCTACCCTGAGCGCCGAGGAAGTGTGATGAAACTGGATTTGGCCAAGCCGAATTGACTAAGGCCAAGCCGAATCGCCCAAGGCCTGAATCTAATCGGAGATTTGTCCATTATATGACCGGTGCCCCATAGCTAGGCCAGCGCCAAATCCTTTTGCTCGGCCTAGACTCAAACTCCAATCATCAAGAAACCTCAAAATCCAAGTTCCAAGATCCTAAAGCGATGCTTCACGTTTTTCTTGGGTTCAAGTACAAGCTGAAGAATCCAAGTGCTTGGCCTTCAGCTTAATTTGTGTTGTTCCCAAATTGAGTGAGGCGAGGCCCTGTTTTCAATCTCTAAAACCTGGCAGCCCTAGCTGCTCCTGTTCTTCCATTTGGATCTTTTTTTGCGAGGTTCCTGGTCCTCCCATTGGTCTATTGCATCCTCGTGCCAGACGCTCAGAAGGAAAGAATCCCATCTGATGACGTGAAGTGTTTTTGCTCCATGCCGAGGCCATGGGCAGTCTTTGCTATGGTTCTTTGGGCCTCGAGCTAGGAAACGAACTCGTTTTTTGGTGCCCCGATTCGACCCTTCTGTGCCCAGCTGGTTTCGACAGACCGCGTTCTGACGAGGTGCGGTCTTTCCGACTGCGTTTCTCGCATCCTGAGATTGCCTTCACGGTGGAGGTGGGGACCTGTGGAAACCTTCACTGGTCAGGATGTTCCGCCCATCAAAAAACGAGGCTTCAGAAAGGCAAAGGCTTTTGTGTGACTGAGATCAGCTGAATCCGCTGAAAGCAGATGCCATGAGGTGGTGATTTGGATCCTTGCGTTGTGGTTGCCTCAAGAGTCAAGCCAAACCTATAGCTGAGCAGGCTGAGCTGAAACTTCACGCCATCGATTTGGTGGGTGACCACATCATGTTGACTGCGCCTGCTGAGGTGTTTGCAATTTCTGGCTCTTGGCAGACAAGCGCTTGGCCCCCAGAGAACGCAAAACACAAGCACATGACACATGGATCCAATGGGTCATGATGTCTTTGAATGTCTTTGATATATAATCAAACAAGTCCTTGGACGTTTGCTGTGCACTTGTGATTTTCTCGTGGGAATTGGATGTGGCGAGCGGACTCGCCCATGATCCACGGCGCACGCGGTTTTATGCTGTCCCGGGCTGCACGATATTCACGTCCCATGAGACTCGTGAGGCGTCGACTACGTGGTGAGGCAGTCGATGCCTCATGGCTCCTGGGCACAGTTTGTGGGTGGGCTGTTTTTATGGCCTTTAGGCCTTTAGAACTTTAGGCCAGTGGGTCGATGATTTTGGGGAAGCCAAGATGCTCTCACGATGCGCTCCCATATGAGCTGTATGACCAATTCCAATAACCCAAAAGACGGAAGGGAAGTACTTCCGATTCCTCAAGATTGACAAGTCTCCAGAAACTAGTGGTGCAGCCTTCAATATCCCTTGGCAAATTTGTCCGAGTTTCTTGCCCTCACCCAGGCTCAACTTTGTGGCGGCGTTGTGACCTTGGACATGGCCACATAGCGATTACATTCCTTCAACGCCTTTTGGTGTGCTTGATGTGTCTGAGGAGCGTGTTGCTGTGGCTAGCAGTTGCCACGATGCTTGGGGAGTACAACTATAAGGACCGGAGAGGGATGTCTGGTCATTCTTTGTAGATCAGCAAATCAACTTATAGTAATCCAGTCTCATCCCTTGGAATATGAATGGAGAGGCAAAGATCTTAACATGCTCTCGGATCATCTAGTAGGATCATCCAGAAGCTTACTCCTATGTTCAGATCCGTGATCAGAGACATTCTTGGGGATTCTACTTCAGTTGCAAGCGATCCTACTAGAAGATCCGAAGATTCTTGGCAAGATAAATACATTGGAATTGGAGCCGCTAGTAGTATCTTCTATTGCTTCCAGGCCAACATGGAGCCTTACTACGACATAGCTGCTCTACAGACATACGTGGACATCGATCCGGTGAATGCCAGGGGCGAGAATCTCATGGATGCCGGACGAATGGTCTTCACAAAGGCTATTGGATTGAACATGCGCCGACACGACAGATCTACCGTCTTCAAGTGACGCGAGTGACGTGAGTGATGCGAGTGACGCGAGTGACACAAGTGACGCGAGCGACATGAGTGACACGAGTGACACGAGTGAGATTGAATCCTAGCTTTCAAACTGAAAGGGAACTTGGAAGAGATTGGAAGATCCTGAAGAACTTGATGTCCGAAGACTTGGGCTCGTCGGAAGGCTTCTTATTTGGACCTCAAGCACTCTATGGGTTACATGGACAGTGAAACTTGGTGCGTGCCAGCCTCAGATACAAATTTGGATGACTTGCGAGGCTGTTCTTGAGACGGGAAATGCCAGTAATCTTTGGAGGAGCTTAGGCCCTTCACATTCACGGTTTTCGATTGACATCCGAGGTGGCACCTGTGGTCACCCGAGATCTGGATCAGAACAGTACGCAGTTGGTCGCAGACTTCTGGGCCATTGGGAAGAATTGCTCCTGGGCGAAATGCGGTTTCGCGTGGTTTCATGTGGTTTCTTAACCTTGTGTAACTAGGTCTTCCAAGCATCGAACCCCAACGTCCACTCCGTAAAAGTTGGAGCCTGACCACGCTCATCAGTGGTCTCCAAACCAAATCCTCTTCCTTTGTTTGTCTTTGCGCAAGGCTGTGCAGGAAGCAAGGGCGGCGACTTCAAATGTGGCTCGTGATCATCCCAGTGGGCATCATGTGTCTATCTGGTCACCTGATCATTTGACAGGGGAGTTGTAACTTAGCTTTTGCAAGGCAATTTCATTTGACCATTGGACCAGCAAAGTCTTTTTTCCTTCCATATGTTCAGTATCAATACTCTTTCAATTTCTGAAAAAGAAGGTAGGTAGGTCTGAAAGGAACGCATGAAGTTGAAGATTTGCCTAACTTCAGGTGGTCAAGCCACATTGCACACGGTGGCCTTCGACTTCTGAATGATGCGGAGCTGTCTAACTACAGGCCTTTGGGAGTAAAATTAGTAAGGCAATAAACTACTAGGAGCAAGAAGCTACTGGGGTCTCCTGGCATCGCTACTAGTAACAAGATGCTACTAGGGGCTCCTGGCCTTACTACTAGGAGCAAGAAGCTACTAGGGGCTCCTGGCATCGCTACTAGTAACAAGGACGCTACTAGGGGCTCCTGGCCTTACTACTAGGAGCAAGCAGCTACTAGGGGCTCCTGGCATCGCTACGAGTAACAAGAACGCTACTAGGGGCTCCTGGCATGGCTACTAGTAACAAGGACGCTACTGGCGGCTCCTGGCCTTACTACTGGGAGCAAGAAGCTACTAGGGGTTTGTGGCATCGCTACTAGTAACAAGGACGCTACCAGGGGCTCCTGGCCTTACTACTAGGAGCAAGAAGCACCTAGGGGCTCCTGGCATCGCTACTAGTAACAAGGACGCTACTAGGGACTCCTGGCCTTACTACTAGGAGCAAGAAGCTACGAACGGGGCACAGACTGTGACTTTGGTGTTTGGGGATTTTCGGAACACGTGCGGCGGGCGGCCATGAAACGTGAGCAAGGTTCTTCACGCTGCTTTGCCGCCAATTCCACCCCCACCCCAGCATTAATTTTCTGACTAGATTGCTCAACAAAGACATGACAAGAACCTGTCCTGTTTGGACCCTCCAAAAATGTACTGGTACTGTGCATTTCTTGAGGGCCCGTCTCAAAGCATTTAACAAATTACAACGCATGACTGAAGGCTAATTAATTCATTCTGGTACAACTAG